ATTTTCAAATGTGGCTTGATGCTAATTGTACTTCTATTTATATTTTAAGATGTATTCTTGTAAGCATTATAGATAGTTTGTGCTTTTGGCGTAAAATCAAACTTTATTTAGCTATATTAATTTAATGCTGTATATTGAGCAGTGGACGATGTTAAATCCATATATGAGATACATATCGGAGGAAAAATGCATTGTTGGTCGGCGCCCCCTAGCATGCAGGTGTGAATTAGCAGAAGGCGATCAATCGTTTTGCGCTCGATGTGAAAGCACCGTTCGTCGGCAATTCGCCTCACTTTTTTGCATCGCGCTCAGTGTGAAACGGCCTTTATGGTGTTGTGATTGTGCACCTCGGCGGCTTTGAGATCTCGGTTGCACGCCTGGGCTCGACTCTTCAGTTCAGCGCACTGTGGCTGCAGCTGCTGCATCCGCTGCGTCACACCCTCCAGCTGATCCTGCAACAGTCCCAATATCCTGTTGGCCTCCTGAACTTTCCCCTACAAACAAGCAAAACCCCAAATAGACACACTGCACATTACTGTGAATCAAACATAATTCGATTTTTTTTAAAGTATTTTCTTCAATAAAATAACTAGGGCTGCTGGCTGTGCACAACCCAACAGAGCTCTGTAAATAACAGCAAAAAGCTTTGAGGGTTGCTGAAAGATGGCAGTATGAGAGTTAGAATATCAATGGTGCTAAAGTCGTGATCTACTGTGGCCAAGAGCAAATTTTTGTTTGCAATGTCCTAGCAAATGGCCTACTGTTGCAAATGGTCTAATCTATGCCATTATGGAAAAAAAAAAAAAATCCTAATAATCTTCACACTCTCCGTGAGCCCATTAATGTACATAAGCTGCATAACTGTAGCTGTTTTTCTTCTTTGGATTTCTGAGTATTTCTCATTGTTATCAAAACGCAGTAAGAATTAGCAGGAAATCCTGGTGTGCCAAACCTGATTGTGCATCTAGTGTTAATATGCAGTAAAAAAGCTGAAAACCCAAAATCATGCCATTGCAATTATAAATTGGTCATGTGTTGACAAATAATCTTATTGTAAAAATGAGATGACAACAAGGCAAAATTGGCCATTTCAATCCAATTGGCTGTTTTTAAGCAACTCTTGAGCATGTCTGATAAAGAAATTGATTGGTTAGCAGCATCAAATCTTTGAAAGTTATTCAATTTTTGTTTTAAGCACTTTGTAGTAGGTTATTTGAAAATAATTTTTAGAGTTTTAAGAGTTTGACTGTGGTGCCATTACTTGAAATTTTTTCATGCCAGTCTACATCAAGAACAAACTCCCACATCTGCTAGGAGGAGAAACCTCAGCAAGCGCAAACATGGCTGCCAGGTGTTGTGCAACAGGACCACCGACTAACAGCAACACTCATTGCATACTTTTTTGCCTTCCCTTCTCACTGTTACTTTATCTAACTTTTTGTGTACGTAGCAGCGCCGCATCTAGTGGGTTTAACTGGATAAGCTATGAAAAACATTAAAATGCAACGACACTTACATCGTCATCGCGTTCCGTGTGCCACTGATAAGGCTGCCTGACACACACCTAAGAATGTGGATTTTTATTTTAAATTCGAAGAATATTCGAAATTCTATTTTTTTTTTACAGCCCTACTGTGGAATAATGTATTTCTGCTAAACCTGCCCCTAAGCTGTGGGGGAAAAAAATGATTTTGACTGATTTAAACATCAGTCTCATTCTAGCCAAAAACGCCTACTTAGGCAGGAAAAGCTGAAATCTGGCCCAAACTATCCTGTAGTCAAATGTGTGGTTTCATGAACACTAGAGGAAACTGGACCACAGAAACTCCAGATAATATTCAGTCACCTCCCACTCTTCCACCTTCTGGTCATATCTGACAGTGGACCTCTCTTCAGCTGTGATTCGTTCTCTCATTGGCTTGATCTCCTGCTCCACCTCTGCCACCTGATGTATATGGACATACATTTCAGTATTAGGTCACAATCTTCGGTTGAGAGATATTTGAAGCATGTGATCTTCTAGAGATGGGAACCATAAATAATTAATGTTTCAGGTTCAATCAGTGAATGAGTTGTTACACTGATTAAAACAAATGAATTCTAAGCCATTCTGACTGAATCATTAAAAAATCCATTCGTTTGTCAATCAGGCTGGTCAGGCTGTGCATTACGTGCAACTCAACAGAAATGTGCCATTAAAAGTATAAGAACCACAGTATACCATTACAAAGATTATACGATTATAATATGAAAGTGATCAAATCTGATTAGGAAATGATAGTATTGTTGTGTTCATTTTGATTTGAGCCATGCAGTCACAGTTCATGTTATGCTGGCAGTGATTCCTAACCAGAGCCCAGGCCATCTGATTATTCAGCTCATCCAACTTCTTCTGCATTTCATCAAGTGAAGCCAGACTTTTATAGCGCTCTTCTTTCGCATGGTACTTTCTCTTCAGCTCTTGTAGAGTCTGTGTGAGAAGAAATGGTGTGCCAGAAACCAGAGAGTGAAAGAAAACTATACTGCCATCTTAAAGAGCATCTAGTCTAGCAATCCAATCAGATACTTTTTCCAAAGATGCTCCATCCAATACATAATTTCAGTTCAGTTACATGAACCACTATGTAAATGTGATTATTTCAGCACTCACCTCCCTGTGCTTCTCCACTGTATTCTGGGTCATGGTCTTGGTCTTCATGATGTAGGTCAAATCTTCTTTCATCTGATCAAGCTGAGTGGCCTTCAAGAAAAACTAAAGAAAAAGAACAAAGCAAATTTCAAGTTGTATTTGTTATAAGAGAAACAAATGCACAAACACACACAAAGTCTCACTTTATATATGTCGCCCTCTCCTTTGGAGTGGAGTAAGTCTTTACTAATTTCCTGAGTTAGGATAGAGACCGGATTGTCCACCTGAGGATGAAAAAACAATCAGATAAATCAAAACAGATCATTTAAATATTTTTGTTAGCATACATTTAGAGAATTGAGAGGATCTTTAGCCATACCTGGATGTTAAAGTGATCCAAAATGGAGATCAGTTCTTCCTTTTTTGATGACACTAAGCGACCTGGGAGACAGGCAAATCAAATTGTCAGATTATTGATCTAACTCATCTGTCATGTGGTAGAAGCCAACTAAATTAGGCAGATGTCACCATGGACAGGTTGTGTGACTTGCCCTCATCCTCAAACCCCATGAACAAAACTATGCAAGGTAAAATAAATATAACCCAGACTACAACAAATACAGGTTCACTAAAGAGTATAAACATGGTTCGTACCAACAACAGTGTGTTTTCTGTAGTGAAAAACACATTATATTTCACATATTTTACATTATTACAATACCTCTCTCCCCAGTCTAGCATGAACGGCTCGAATAGTTCCTGTATCAAATGAAGGCCCGCCTTCTGAAATACGAAATGTGTTGTGATTGGTTAGCTGGGCCAGTGTGTGTTGTGATTGGTTAGCTGGGCCAGTGTGTGTTGTGATTGGCAGCACTCGGCGCCTGGTCGGGAAATGTCATGCCCCTTACCATAGCCGCCTGCGAGCTTCAGTGTAAATATTGCGTCAAAATCAAATCAATTTGAGCTCGATTTAAACCCGGATGATTGTAACCACTCTTAAGTTTGTCTGCCTTGGGAAAGCTAGCGTGTCTCCGACATAGTGATAACACTCGTTGCCTTCTCTAGTGCAGCTCAACCAGGTCTCGTCCCATTCGTCAGTATTTGTGATATCACAAATCCCGGAAAATATGCGTTGTAGTCCAAACGAGTCGTTCGTTATAGTTTTTGAAAAGCGATTTCTGTTAAATAAAATATCTCCTTTTGAAGTGGACTTTGAACTTTGTAACTTTGCAGATCTTTTTTATGCTCAAACAGCAACATTACAGACTAACTAAAGTTGAAAAAGTGAAAAAGCATAATAGGACCCCTTTAAGTAAAAGCACCGGAGCACCACAGATGCCACATATGCTGTGCATATGAGCACATCTGACTTGACTGGCTGTCAATTACACATCAGGAAAGAATTAAATGCTGGCTTTAATTGCAAGCGCTTCAGCAAATCTTTATTTGCCTTCTGTCAGGAGAGCACAGATATTATTTTGGAATGCATCAAAGTAATATTTTTAGAAGCTAAAAAAGTATGGAGCTGAAAAGTTCAGTTTAAAGGGGTCATATGATGCGATTTCAAGTTTTCCTTTCTCTTTGGAGTGTTACAAGCTCTTGGTGCATAACGAAGATCTGTAAAGTTGCAAAGACTAAAGTCTCAAATCCAAAGAGATATTCTTTATAAAAGTTAGAGTCAACCACGCCTATCTTATATCCACATATCTAGGTCACTATGTGGAAATATTAGCATAATGCCACCCAAATGTTCACGCAAAGAAAGAAGGCGTGGTTTCAGGAACAGCAGTAGTGTTGATGCAGCCATGTCAGGGAGACGCTGTATTTCAGTGCGAAAGCAAAAGCACTTTATTTGGCCTTCCGGAAGTAGATGCAATTAGGAATCATTGGTTAAGATTTATTTACAACAGAACAGCACAACCCAGATGTTCGAATTTGTGCAACGCATTTTATGGACGACAGTTTTTTGAACCTAGAAGAGTACAAGGCTGGCTGTGCACAAAGGCTATTTCTAAAATAAAAAAATAAAAAGAGTAAATTCCGACTTTGCTATGACAATCTGGCGCTTCTGAATCAGCGACTGTAAGTATGTTTTGTTATTAGTTTAAGTATTTGCTATTGACTGTTCAAATGCGGAGTTTTGCGCAGCGCAGAGTAACGCGTCGTGTGTGTGTGTGTGTGAGGGGAACAGGGTCACATCACAGGAGAGTGAACTGCCTGTCAGAAATCATAGCACGTCAGCTGTCTTAACCGCGGCTTGTGTACTGCATCATCACTGTGTCTGTCACGCGACTCTGTTGCCCTTTCGGGCTTGAACTGATGGTAAAACTAACGACATTATTAACTGTCTTGATATTTACTTTGAAAGCTGAAGCTGCGATTATGGTAAGGGGCGTTACATTTCCGACGCGTGCTTGTGGTGTTCGGCCAATCACAACGCACTGGGTCAGCTGGCCAATCTGGCCATTGTGTTTGAGAGAGGCGGGGCATAGAGGAGCTACAATAATGTACAGTATTTGAAAAATAATGTGTTTTTTGAACATTAAAGCATGTCAACATATTCTGTTACACCAAATATACAAAATAATGATCTTTAAAATAGTATCATATGACCCCTTTAAACTAAACGAAAAATAACAATTTCAACTGAAATTGTTATATGAATCACTATTAAATGTAAATATAAACTGCCTTGTCAAGAAGATTGAATTGCTCTAAAATTTGTACAAAATTAGCACACAAAAAAATATGCTTGTCTTGCGAGAATCAAGTATTGTTTACAGCAAAGGAAAACCAGTCTCCTCTGGACTTATATCGAAATAGTCCAACATTTTTTCTTGACAAATCCTCGTTTTGTACTTCTAATTCATGACCGGTGTTTTGCTTTGCTCTCTCCTCTGCGCTTCCGCATTCGTCACTTCTCAATGGAGTTTACGCTACGCCTACATCATCCGCTGGAACTCCACTCTCTCGTGAATGCGCGTTCACCAGTTAGCCGAAGCTAGAGATTACGGTTTATAAAGTTTTAAAGGGGTCATCGGATGCAAAATTCACTTTTACAAGTTGTTTGAACTGAAATGTGTCTTGGCAGTGTGTGTACACAACCACCCTATAATGATAAAAATCCACCCAGTGTTTTTTTTTGTTTTTTTAAATCCCCATAAATAATAACCCCTTTGTCAGAGTAAGCTGTTCACAGATCTTTGGCTGTGTGACGTCACACAGACCCAGGCCGCCCCCACGATTGTTGGTTGACACTGGGGTTTTACCTTAGACCCGCCCTGAGTGAGCTGTAAACAGTCTGCCATTGTTTCGATTCCGGATCAGGTGTAGACAAGAATGTCTCCTAAGCAATTGAGGTGTTTTGTTGTTGGATGTAATAATGAACATAGCAGTCATCATTTACTCCCGACATCTGAAGACGGCCGCTGAAGACGCAGAGTAGGGTTGTAACGATATACCTGTTTTACAGTTTATCACGGTTTGAACGTGTACGGTTATCATACCGTAAACATTTGCATATCTACGTTTAAAAAAAAAAAATGAATGAAAAAAAAATCTCACCCGTGCATATGCAACTTATTTCTGCTTGGCTGCTTCACTCTGCATTCACTTGGCTGCTTACACGCACGTACAGCGGAGAAAATGACAGAGACAGATTATATCTAATCTCCATCCCCACCGAAAAAAAAAAGGTTAAAATCTGCAGTCTGGGAATACTTAGGATATAAAAAAACAACAACAACGTGGGGTTGTCCTTGAGGACGGATCCAATTTGCAAAAAATGTGAACGCAAAGTGGCTGCAAAAGCAGGCAATACATCCAACATGTTCGTTAATATTCGCGGACACCATCCCTGCATGCAGATAAAGGTGTGTTGCATTTATAACAAGTTATAAATTAAGGCAGTATGATTTTCGTGATGCAGAGGGAATCCTGGTGCAGTCGTGAACATGGAATTTACAGTATAATGACGATGTCACGTAAAACGCGCAATCTGATGGATGAATAAATCAAAAGTCGATATGATATGTGTCTGTATGCATGACGCTAATGGTGTTTTCAGCGTCTACATAAACATGAACATCACCAGAGCTGTTCTGAGAGAAAACTTAAATAAACATTTCCTAGTTTTATTTGAGAAAACCATTGTCAAATACACTCTGAAACTCAAAGGTCCGCTACAACCCGTCAAAATAAAAGTTCGATTTAACTTGAAACATTTATGTAAATTTATGAAATATTAACTTATGAAATAATTATGACAAATATATTAGCATTGTACAATGTACTTCAAAGTTATAATAACAACAATAATAATATTCTTTATAATAAAGAATTTATTTAAACATGATTTTTTAAGGAATATCATGTTTTTCCATGTTTTCACTTAGTATACCTGTTGTGCAGAACTTTGCCAAAAATAAAAGTTGTAAAATTTTCATTTGATAACATTTTAAAACATTAATTAAAATGTTAAAGTGTGATATAGATATACATACGGTGTATAGCTTTTTTTTAAATTGTTTTTTAAAATGAAATTAATTAAAAAAAAAAATTCAGAAGGGAGACTTCAATACTTTCATTAAAATGGTTTCAAGTTTGTTGTAATAAAGGATTTGTTCACTCAAATAACTTTTGTTCTTATTTGAAATGTATTTGTATCTTCTAATTCTTTTAGGAGTCATTCTTACTGATAAGAATTATTGTTTAATATATAATGTGATACCGTGAAATTTTTTTGAGACGATTATCATACCGTGAAAATCTCATACCGTTACAACACTAACGCAGAGTATTACTTTTGATTTTGAAGGGAATGCGCCCCCCAATCTGCCTAAATGCGTCTATGAGCGAATCATTCGTGATCCAGCTTCACCTACAGAAGAAGTGAGCATAAGGTTTTTTTTATGAATCTTTGCAAACTGCCTTTCCTAATAATGTGTTTGTTAGCAAGTTCCACGATGAATACAACTAAAGTTCACTGTCTCTCAGAGAACTGCTTGTCACCCCATGGAAGAGAAGGGCGGGGTGAGCAGAGCTCATTAGCATTTAAAGGGACATGCACCGAAACGGGTCGCTGTGAACAGAGCTGTTTTTGATAAGGTAAAAAGGATGTTGTTTTACACTACCATTGCGAAATTTTAACCAAAGTATGCTATAGACTTTTCATTAAAACCCTAAAGAATCATATCAACTTGTGGAAAATGGGCATCCGATGACCCCTTTAAATATGGATATTTTTCTTACACAAACGCATCGATTCGCTTCAGGAGGCCTTTATTAACCCCCTTTTTATGATGGATGGATGCCCTTTTTTGGGCTTCAAAATCTCGACCCCCCATTCACTGCCATTATAAAGCTTGGGAAAGCCAGAACATTTTTTTTAATATAACGAATCATATGGATTATTTTTACAATGTCTTTATGAACTCTTTGAAGTGTCAAAGTTTTGGGTGAATGCACTTTCAAAGGTAGGACAGAAACCTCTCAGATTTCATTAAAAATATTTTTTATGTTTTCAACATGAACAAGGAACTTATGCGTTTGGATTAGGGCTGCCCCTAATAGTCAACAAATCGTTAATCGACAAGAAGAGGCTTGGTCGAAAAAAATGTTATTAGTCGCAGAAAAAAAAATCCACATTGGCACAGTCACGCAGTCCGTGACAGACAGATCGTTAACGGCTAGTCTATGGTAATACAGTACATCGGGCAGGACATCCAAACGCTCGCCTATCATTCATCGACCTCAAATACAGCTTATCATCTGTAATATGTTAATATTGGCAACTTTACATGGCCGCTCAATCTAATGTTAACCTAGAGAAATGTGCGCTATTCAGTGTCTGTGCGGAGTGTGGAAGCTGAACAGTAGCTCACTGCAGGACAGACGGAGGCGCCGGTGCGCTCATTTGATCTTAAAATACTCCGTAAGTTTTGGTCATACAGATAAGAGTAATACATCTTTCAAATCTGTAAAGACTCTACGTTTATTTGTGTGCACTCACAATAACAACAAAACATTGCACTTCTGTAAAATAATGAAAGCAAACAGGATGCGCTTTCTGCCGTCTCGGTCTCTGTGAACTTGAGCGCGAAACTCCGTGTATATCTTTGCCTTAAAGACATTAAAAATATATCTATAGAGAGCGAAATGTCTACTTTCAAATGAAATAATTCAAATGGAAAACAAATATTCTCTGATTATGTAATCCGTATGAAACATGCATACAGGTGCATCACTACTGCGGAGATGAAGAGTCAGTGTCGCCGACTTCATCTCTTAAACCGGAAACAAAGAAAACACTTGTTTATCAGTGAATTATTAAAATGTTAATGCAGCCTCATTACTGTTTTTCCCTGACACATTCATAATAATTACTTCTGCCGGTGTGCTGTGGCAAGCTTTCTGCGTGTGCTTGAGTGCTTATTAGGCTATGTAGGCAATTATAGGCTCATTATAATGATTTAAATGGTTTATTAATAACCGTGCGATCAGTCGACTAATGCTTAAAATGAATGACTACTAGTCGACCAGAAAAATTCTTAGTCAAGGGCAGCCCTAGTTTGGATCATCAAGAGGGTAAATAAATCATGACAAATTTTTTTTGGGAGTTACTTTGTCTTTAACTCACAGTCCTAATTTAAACTACCCAAAGTAATTGAGTACCCAAAGGTGAAATGGTTCTGTATTTGTAAATATACCTGTTTTACTTCTTAGTTTATATGTCCGCATTCCCTCGCTGGAGATACAAACATCTACGATGATGGACTGGCCAAACACTTCTGGCTTATACGCATCACGACCCCTGTTCCTCAGAGTGATGGACACATCTGCAGAACTAAACATTCCAGAAACAAAAACAGTGTGAGAGACTATAAATAGACTGTGACTACATGCAGTGAAATCCGGATAGGTGTGTCGTACCTCTCTCCTTCCTTCACAAATCCTTTGAGTGAGGAGTCTCTGTTCGTGGTGTGAGCTTTACCGCCCAGGGCTACAATCAGAGCTGTCAGCACGGCACTTTTTCCACCTAACACACAAATATACATGAAACAACTATAAATAAAACCATAAAAACTTCATCAGCATTGATAACAAGCAATAACAACTGTCACAAAACTGTGTCCCTAGATATGTTTTCTTCTTATTGTAGTTAATGATATGCCTATTTAAAAATACATGATTATGTAATCTATCTTCCAAATTATGGATAACTACAGTACTCCATTAAATCCCGCCCCACTTACCAGACATTTAAAATATTGAAGGAACAGTTCACCTAAATAAATAAATAAACAAAATTTGCAGAAAATTTACTCAGGCTATCTAAGATGTAGATGAGTTTGTCTCTTTATATTCAACAGATTTCGAGAAATTTAGCATTACATCTTTTGCTGACCAATGAATCCACTGCAGTGAATCCTTAATTATGGATTTCATTACAAATATGCAAAAAAAACAAAAAAAAAACAATAATTGAACGTCTTTAGCTGTGTTGTGGATTATTGTGATGTCAGCTGTTTGGACTCTCATTCTGATGGCACCCATTCACTGCAGAGGATCCATGGGTAAGCAAGTGATGTAATCAGGGCTCTAGACTGCGACCATTTGTGACAATTCTTTGAGAATGTTCGAGTAAAAATTTTACATGGTCGCATTTGTGCGAGTGCATGGTTTGCGCTGCTCCATACAGCGTGCTGCAGAGCTGCGGCACATTGTAGCAAGAGTCAGATTTCACAGATCACACGAAGAGAGGCACTTTCAGTGCGAGCGCTTCAGAGGGTGAGCCTGGTTTATACTTGCGGTGTCAGAACAAGCGCGAAGGTGCGCGCATTACGTGGCAAAAATGATGCGAATATTGAGGAAATGATGGTGGAGGATTTGGTTTTCACACTAAAGTTATGTAAAAGATCGCTTCTTAAACCAGAGAAGGTGAACATGTTGGTATTCTTGTGGGGGGAAAAAACATGCAAGTCCTGTCACCGACAGCCAGTTTAGTTTTACTTTTCTTTTTAAAAAGCTTGTTATCTTTGCTGTTTACCTCACTTTACGCTATGGAGGCTTTCTTTAATTTTTTTGTTTTTTTATTTAGGCTATTTGATTCCTCAGTGTTTGCTAAACATTCTGTAATTTATTAGTCGGTATATAATATAGCATGAGGTGTATGCCATGCCTCAGCTTATTCGTTTTTGTTAATAAACGTTATGTAAGCTAGTTTGTCATTATAGCCTACTGTTTTATTGTTGTTGTGCTTTTTAATTAAGAATAACAATGAATCAATCTTTTGTTTTAGTCTTAAAAAGTGAAAGGTGTATAGATATAAGCAAAACAGACAATTATCTTTTTTTTTTGTAAAGCGTGACACCATGATTGTGAATTCGAAAGTGAAAGTGTCCAAAGTCCGACTTACAACACAGCAAAAGAGGAATTCCCCTTCACTAAATTTAAATCACAAATAATACTGATGAAAAAGAACGGGTTGAATGTTGAACACTTTTGTTACCATATAACTATAAACTATGATAAAAGTTCATTAGCATGCATTGATTAATCCCATGCAAAAAAAAAAAAAAAATTAATAAAAAATGCGACCAACTGAGAAAGTTACTCGCAAAAGAGCGACCAGTGGGAAGAATGAGTCTACAGCCCTGGTAATGCTAAATTTCTCCAAATCTGTTCCAATGAGGAAAAAACTTCTTGGACGGCCTGAGCTTGAGTACATTTTCAGCAAATTTTCATTTTTGGGTGGTTAGTTGGTTGGTGTATTTAAATATATTGACATTGCAACTTCACTGGCTATTACATGGTAGATACAAATTATACATCAATATAATATAATAAATATAACATAAGTACAAATATTTTATAAAATTTCACTTTCAAAATAAAAAAAGAATATTTTATACATACAAAAGATTCTTTGTACTTGTGATAAAAAGATTTTATTGGGTACTTACAAAAGAAGTCCTTAAAACAAATGTTTGGGTGAACTGTTCCTTTAATTAGTTTATTTCAAACCGCTGTCTGTTGATCAAGGTTCAAACTTAGGCCCCGTCCACACGGAGACACGTTTAGTTGTATACGTAAAAAATGTTGTATTGTATCGGCATTTCGTCCAGATGGATCCGGCGTTTTGGGAGTGTGAGGCCATGTCCACACATACATAGGTATTTTTATAAAAAAATTTTTTTGAGTTTTTCCTTCTTCCGTTTTAAAAAAAATCTCTGTCCACATGAAATTGCAAAAGCATGCTATGAAGCACTGTCAAGAGCATGCCAAGCCAACAGGTGGCGATATAATCTCAACCGTAAAGCCATGTTGGCCAATCAGAAGCCTGAAAAAGTTTCCAGTAGGCGGAGATAACAGCGCAGGCGCTGACGTCACAAGCCAAAATCTCCAGTTTTGCGGTCTACATGATAACACTGCAACCAGAGTTTTTGAAAATCTTCACCCTGGCAGGAGTTTTCAAAAATGTTCGGTTTCAGTGACCTGGTGCTGCGTTTGCGTGTGGACGAATGGCCAAACCGCATAGAAAAAGCTGCAGTTTTGAAAATACCTGCGTTCGTGTGGACAGGGCCTGAAACTGCTATTTTTTAAAATCGGGTCCCAGAGTGGATAAATCTGAAAACGACAGCCTTGCGTTTTCGTGTGTACAGCCAATCCGTATATTTTGTGAAATGATGTCATCACCCCACGTCTCGGCCCTAGTCAGACACTGCTACGTCACGTAACAGCAACAACAACATGAACAAACACTGAACGACTGTCTTTTTAATAACTAACATTAGCACAGATTAATAAATGTATTGTTCCATGTTAATTTTCTTCTTGATGTGTTGACTTTGTATACAGCGTGCAAGGTTTATGCACATGCTCCAAGTCTTTTTCTCTGCTTTTAGTGTATCTCTGTGGCAGAAATACAGCGCCACATACTGGTCTGGCATGTATACTACATCGTTTTGAGTCGGTTTCGTGTGGACGCAGATATTTCTTGAGACAAGGAAAAAAAAGATTGGATAGGGAAAGCTCTGGCTTCGTGTGGATGTGGCCTTAGTGACCTCTTATAATTTGATGCAAGATATATTTCTGTGAGCCACAGCTCGCAATTTTATAGCTGCAATGTTCCCCAATCAGGGTTCTGTGGCCCCCTAGTGGTCCAGACTGTGGTGTACCTATTTTACCGCTTATATGGGTAGTTCATATATGTGTTAGTGACATATTCTGTTTAAATCCACAGGTGAGAAAAATGTCAAGGCAAAATGAAAGGCTAGAAAAAAAAGAGTGAATAACATGTATGATACTTTATTTTCAACATCAAATTGGTTCAATGAGTTCATTCAATGAAGAAATCGTCAGACTGATTCAAACAAGTAGTCTGGATTTCGAATCTAAAACAGTTACTAAAACTTCACAATTCAGGTAAAACATTGCCATGAATTTTATACCGCACAGAAAAATCTATTTTCATGCAACTAAAAATTAAATATGGAGAAGGACTTACTTCCATTGTTTCCTACGACAAAGTTGACGTTTGGACCAAATTCAAAGGGACCAAGCATCGAGTGACACATGAAGTTCCTTAGAGAGATACTCTCTATGCTGCCCACTTCACCTGTGACCTGAAAACACACATACATAGATGTGTATGGGGACATCACAAGCAAAAGTCTATGCAGTATGTACATAAGGTATTACACATAAGGTATTTTACAGCAAAAATGAGCAGTCGAGACAGTTGTACTGTGCTGCGCAAGTCTTACACTCTGTGATGTGCTCATAACATCTCCTGAACTGAAGTAGCCCGTTTCATCCTCTTCAGAGGGCTCGGGCTGAGATAACCGGCTTCTCTTATCAGGCGTCTGCCCTGAATTACTGCTCTTCCTCGTTGACATCTTCTACAAACATCAAACATTTATCTTTCACAATAAACACAGTCATTTATATCCTTTATTGTCATTACACTGCCACGTCACTTAATAGGAGTGGGACTCCTAACAAGTGGGAATTTGTACATTTGTATGTTTTCTTTGTCTTGTTGCAAATAAAGTCTCTAGTTTTAGCTTAAAAACAATTAACACCAAATCTTATGAGATGAATCTAACCACTTAAAGTCGAAACATCTTTTCTTCTGTATTAGATCTGAGTGTAACGAATGATCAGAAAAGTACAAATGCAGGGCAGAGACTAAGCTTGATGCATTGGCTGCTGATTGGATTTTGAAACGTGGGCACTGCACCCAAATATGGAAGCAGATGAATGACAGTTCATGTGGACGGGTTTAAGCAGACTAAATGATTGGAGAATTCCTGCATGTGTCACCAGAGAAAGGTCCAGTTATGACACTTTGATTAAAAATAAATAAATAAACAATAAACATATGCACAGACAAACTGTTTACAGTAAGAGCTATAATAAATAAATAAACCAATTTCCTTCAAGAAAAAAAAATAAAAAAGGTAATTGCAACTTTTTATCTCACAATTCAGACTTTGTTTCTTGCAATTCTGAGGAAAAAAAGAGAATTGTGAGGTATAAACTCATAATTCTGACTTTTTTTTTTTTTACTTGCAATTCCAAATGTATATCTCCAAATTTTTTCTCACTTGCTGTTTCAGCCACAGAAGAAAAAAGGGTAATTATGACTTAGGGATGGGCGATATGGGCTTAAAAATATATCACAATATTTCTGGTATTTATTACGATAACGATATTAATGACGATAATTCAGGGAATCTGGTTTCTTTAGAGAGAAGTATTATCTTTCCTATTTTTGCCCAAAATAGGGTGTTGTGAGCATTAAAGGGGTCATATGATGCTGCTAAAAAGAACATTCTTTTGTGTCTCAAAACTCGCATTTGAATCATCAGTGGCAAATCCTTTAAAGTCCCCATGAAATCAAAATTAAAGTTTTTTGGGTGTTAGTATCAATATGTTAGTCTTAAGGTTATCTATAAGGCAGTATGCTCCAAAACAGTGACAAAATTCGCATTTAGAAGATATAAGCATTCAAAGCTTGCAGT